CACACACACACACACACACACACACACACACACACACACACACACACACACACACACACACACACACACACACACACACACACCGTTTAGATCCCATTTCTACTCTATATGTCAAAGCCTGGGTTAAAATAAAAGACATTAATTATAAGAAACAAATATTAACTATTAAAAAAACAAGTACGCTCATGAATAAATAAATATAGTGTTATGTTTTATGGAGGCAGAAACAGAACCCTAATGAAAGTGTTAAAACACGGACTGTCCTTCTCTCCCTTTCTAACAGAAAGACAGTTTTCCTGGTAACAGAAATCCTTTATTCCAGTCCTGGCCGCCGAGCCCTCATTACACTCTCTTCCAGATTGATGGTAATATTCTGCCTCATCTGTCCATCTGCTCCAACCACTTCCGTCCTTCCACTGCTTCTCGTAGAAAATGCAGATTGATGGGGATAATGATCCTGTTAGACTCAGAGTGCTCTGTGCAGCTCTGACATGTGCCAGTCCTGATAGAAGAGCCAAACAGTGGATGTGAAAAGACAGTGTGTTAATAAAAATGTAAATAATAACCAACCCCCTCATGCACTTTCACGTTGGAACGATCCAACAAAGTTTCTCTGTCCTCCCCCCTCTCTCTCTCTCTGCTTTCCATCTCCCTCTGTATACATTATGAACCCACGCCTGTTCGCCTTCACTTTGTGCTGTTCTCTGTGTGTGTGTGTGTGTGTGTGTGTGTGTGTGTGTGTGTGTGTGTGTGTGTGTGTGTGTGTGTGCAAAACGGGGGATTATGGACAATGTGGGTGGTGCAAGGCAAGCTGCTGGTAAACAACTCTGTGATCCCCCAATGCCCACTTGCTTTTATAAGATGAGCTCGAACACACACACACACACACACACACACACACACACACACACACACACACACAAAACACACACACTTGCTCTAAGACTGTAGTTAATTTTCCAGTAAAGACGATTGTTTTTGTGTTAAATGTAACGACCTAATAACATTTATATCTAAACACACACATATGCGCGCACACACACACACACACACACACACACACACACACACACACACACACACACACACACACACACACACACACACACACACACACACACACACAGAGACTTAATAGATCGGAGAGCAGCAGTTTTCTTAACTCTGTTGAGCTTCTCTCCGGCTTTCTGTATCCATTGTGTGTGTGTGTGTGTGTGTGTGTGTGTGTGTGTGTGTGTGTGTGTGTGTATGTGTGTGTGTGTGTGTGTGTGTGTGTGTGTGTGTGTGTGTGTGTGTGTGTGTGTGTGTGTGTGTGTGTGTGTGTGTGTGTGTGTGGGAGTTGTATACATGATGTGTGGGTGTTACAGGATATGTGTCAACCTCTAAGTTCCACACCGCAGTGTTTGTGTGTTTTTTCCTCTCCAACTTTCTCTCTCCTCTTGTCCCCACATCACCGCTCTGACACCGAGAGATTTCAGCCAAACAGGAAGTCACCATCACACGGTTTAAAGGGGGTGGACGGCCTCAACAAATATAGTTTTTTCCGATGCCAACATGTGGCATATTATGGGGCATGTATGCAAAAGCTACGTAAAAAAGTCCCTGTGATACGACTTCCTGTCTTTATTTTACTTGTATTGGTTGCATGAAAGAAATGCATCTATTTATCTAATGTAACATATGTAATTGTTCTTTTATTTCCAAGTAATTCTAGTTGAATTATGTGTATCAATTGAGTTGAGTGTTGAGTTTACTCTTATGTTTTATTATTTTCTAAACCAGTGGTTCTCAACTGGCCAGGCCTCGGGACCCACTTTTTCCTTAGTCAATAGATCGCGACCCGACATTTTTAACCACTCAAATCTATTCAACAAAAAATCCTGCAGTAATATATACGCTTTGCAGCATACAATATTACTTAAAGTGAAGTACAGTGCATATATCCCGTATATCCCTTTACAGAACAAAATAATGCTTTTAAAAAGGTTTAGTGAGATGATGGAATCAAAGCTGAACTGTATAACATAAAAAGGCCCACATGCTGAAAACCCAACCCCAGCAGGGGGTCTGGGGGGTTGGGTTTCCCCAGGAGATTTTTTGAAATACTAACATATAAACTACTGGTACACTCTGAGAAGAAAATAAATAAATGTATTACGACATATTAATAATATGTTATGCCATTGTTTGTGTTTCACTTTGTTCTGACATCTGAACTTGCTGCTCCTCACAGAGAGAAGAGTAAAGAGGAGATAGTCTGTGTGAAATACTTTATATTGTGGGTAAGGGTAGATAGCCCCCATTGTTCTGTGACCTGTCAATCATCAAACCGGGGGTCATATTTCATTATGTGTTCATTTTTATCTGAAGTTGTACCCATGGATGTATAAAGAATAGTTCTACCGCAAAGTTATTCTCCGTGGGGACTTCCGGCAACAATCTTGATTCTGATTGGCCAGAAGACTCGAAAAGACATCAGCAAAGATATTTTATTGAGAAGATGATCACTACGTGACAGAAGTTTTCAAAACCGTTTATGGTCTCCGGTACTTCCAGTCCAACGCCGACTGCATGCACAGTGTTAGAAAATCGGGCCTTCCAAATAAAAGTATGACTTTTTCTCCCAAAAAAAAAAAGGAATTTTTCAATCACGTATCTGCGACCCTCTCGAAACGGGTCCGCGACCCACTTTTGAGAACCACTGTTCTAAACCCATATAACTTGAGAGCAGCATATAAAGTGATATTAAAGAAACGCCACAATGTTGACGTTAGCTAATGCTAAAACTAATTAAACAGCCATTGCTAATGTGGATCCCAACAATACAATATCTTGTTTTTCATTACTTCACATATTTTATTCCAATTCTATTTCTACGATTCCAACCATATTCAATGTAAATACTTCTATATTTTACTATATTTTTGAACATTATTATAGTTTTCTTGAAATAGTTTGTTATCTGTTTTTTCTATTTTTGTTATAATTGTATGTATCCAACACAACACCAAGTCAAATTCCTCGTATGTGTTAACCTACCTGGTGATAAACCTGTTTCTGATTCTGAACAAAGATATCAAGTGAAGACGACATGCTTTAAAGCAGCTTTATTAATCTCAAGTGTTTTACTTCCTAATCTCTCCTTTCACCCCCCGTCTGACCCTCTGTTTCTCTCTCTCTCTGTGTGTTTAGGTCGACTTGGAGCCAGAGGGGAAGGTGTTTGTTGTTATCGACCTGTCGGGCTCTTCCAGTGAAGGTAAGAAATCCATTTAAACAGTTTAGTTGAATACTCAATTCTGATTGGTCAATTTGGTCCATTCCAGAGGTCTTCTATTTTTCGCTGACAGACCGTTGCTAAGGAAAGAAGACCGTTATTAAGGAGAGAAGACCATTGCTAAGGAGAGTAGACCGTTGCTTGGGAGAGAAGACCGTTGCTAGGGAGAGTAGACCGTTGCTAGGGCGAGAAGACCATTGCTAAGGAGAGTAGACTGTTGCTAGGGAGAGTAGACCTTTGCTAAGGGGAGTAGAATGTTGCTAAGGAGAGAAGACCATTGCTAGGGAGAGCAGACCGTTGCTAGGGTGAGAAGACCGTTGCTAAGGAGAGAAGACCGTGGCTAGGGAAAGAAGACCGTTGCTGAGGAGAGTAGACCGTTGCTAAGGAGAGAAGACCGTTGCTAGGGAGAGACAAGCATCAGTTTCCATCCATCATAAATCCCAGTGGAAACTTTTCTTTTAATTAATTTTCATATTTGGGGAGAGCAGGTAACTTTGGTTTCCTGATAATAATAATAATAATAAGAAAGCTTTATTTATATACACTTTTCATACAGCACATGCAGCTCAAAGTGATTTACAGGTTTTATAGGTTAAGACTAATAAATACAACAATATAAAAGTAGGTAAATAATAAAGACTAAAAAAACATTAAAGGACGGGGTTGCTAATAAAAAACTAATCCAAAAATATGTGTCTTTAGCTTTCGTTTAAAAATGTCCACTCTGATATTTCCTGGTGTCCCACAGTTTGGGAGCGGAGTAATAAAAGCCACTATGGCGAAACTGTCACCAGTAAAGAAAAGAGAATGAGAAATGTGTGTGTGTGTGTGTGTGTGTGTGTGTGTGTGTGTGTGTGTGTGTGTGTGTGTGTGTGTGTGTGTGTGTGTGTGTGTGTGTGTGGTTGTGTGTGTGTGTGTGTGTGTGCGTGCGTGTGTGAAGTAAGAAAAGTGTAGAGTCATTTCAGTACGAAGCATCAGAAAGTTGATTTTGCAAGTTTCCTGTGTGTCTCTCGCAGTGTGAGACATTACATTACATTACGTTGCATTTAGCTGACGCTTTTATCCAAAGCGACTTACAATAAGTACATTCGACCAGGAAGACACAACCTTGAAGAAAACAGAATCATATAAGTACATCATGTTTCATAGAGCCAAACATTTCAAGTGCTACTCAACTGGCTTTAGATAAGCCAGTCCTTTATTAGTATATAAGTGCTTCGTTAATAGTTCTATCGCTCGAAGTGGAGTCGAAAGAGATGAGTTTTCAGTCTGGAAGGTGTGTAAGCTATCTGCTGTCCTGATGTCAATGGGGAGCTCATTCCACCATCTTGGAGCCAGGACAGCAAACCCACGTGTTTTTGCTGATGGGAACTTGGGTCCCCCTCGCAGCGAGGGTGCAGCGAGCTGTTTGGTTGATGCAGAGCGGAGTGCACGTGCTGGGGTGTACGGTTTAACCATGTCCTGGATGTACGAAGGGCCAGATCCATTCGCAGCATGGTAAGCAAGTACCAGTGTCTTGAAGTAGATTCTAGCAGTTACTGGAAGCCAGTGAAGGGAGCGGAGGAGCAGAGTGGTGTGGGAACATTTAGGAAGGTTGAAGACCAGACGAGCCGCTGCATTCTGGATGAGCTGCAGAGGTCGGATGGCACATGCAGGTAGACCAGCCAGGAGGGAGTTGCAGTAGTCTAGGCGTGAGATGACGAGAGCCTGGACCAGAACCTGCAGTCGCTTTCTGTGTCAGCTGGGGACGTATCCTCCTGATGTTGTAAAGCGTGTATCTGCAGCAGCGGGTTGTAGCAGCGATGTTTGCAGTGAAGGACAGGTTGTTATCTAGGGTCACACCCAGATTCCTTGCAGTCTGAGTCGGGGAAACAACTGAGGTGCCGATGTTGATTGTTAGGTCAAGAGTGGGACAATCTTTTCCCGGAAGAAAAGCAATTCAGTCTTGTCAAGGTTGAGCTTGAGGTGAGGAGCAGACATCCACTGAGAGATGTCAGCTAGACAAGCAGAGATGCGTGCGACGACCTGGGTCTCTGAGCGGGGAAAGGACAGAATTAATTGGGTGTCATCAGCGTAGCAGTGGTAAGAAAAACCATGCGGGCTAATGACTGATCCGAGCGAGTTTGTGTACAAGGAGAAGAGGAGGGGACCAAGAACAGAGCCCTGAGGGACCCCCGTAGTTAATTGACAAGGGTCGGACTCAGACCCTCTCCAAGTAACCCTGTAGGTGCGGTCTTTCAGGTATGAGGTGAGGAGGGAAAGTGCAGAGCCTGAAACTCCAAGTTTTTGGAGAGTGCGAAGGAGGATCTGATGATTCACCGTGTCGAATGCAGCAGACAGGTCCAACAGGATGATGACAGAGGAGAGGGATGCTGCTTTAGCAGTGTGCAGTTCTTCAGTGACAGCAAGGAGGGCAGTTTCTGTGGAGTGACCTGCCTTGAAACCAGACTGGTGCGGATCCAGAAGGTTGTTCTGATTGAGATAACAGGAGAGTTGTTTAAAGACAGCGCGTTCAAGTGATTTAGACAGGAACGGGAGGAGAGAGACAGGCCTGTAGTTTATAACATCAGACGGGTTGAGAGTGGGTTTCTTTAGGAGAGGGTTTACTCTTGCCTCCTTGAGACTGTTTGGAAAGTGACCAGAAGTTAGAGAAGTGTTGATGAAATGGGTGAGAAACGGTAGAATATCAGGAGCGATAGTCTGAAGGAGGTTTGAAGGGATAGGGTCCAGAGGACAGGTGGTAGGGCGGGCAGAGGTAATGAGGGTAAGAACCTCACTTGGAGAGAGAGGGGAAAAGGAGGTTAGTGTGTTGGTGGAAGGAAGGTCTGGTGACCCAGCGGTGAGTAAAGGTGAGTCGGAAAAAGAAGAGTGGGTAACAAAGTCGCTTGACAGAAGTGAGGAGGGGGGAGGAGCTTTGGAGGGTCCAAGAGGGTGGAGAAGATGGAAAATAGTTTTTTGGGATTGGAATAGGAAGATTGGATCTTATCTTGAAAGAAAGTGCTTTTTGCCTGAGAGATCGAAGCAGAGAAAGAGGAGAGGAGAGCCTGATAGGTTAGGAGGTCGTTAGGAGACATGATGTCATTCAGCCAGGTTCATCAGTGAAATTATTTCACTGAGTTCAGTGTGTGTGTGTGTGTGTGCGTGTGTGTGTATGTTTGTGTGTGTGTGTGTGTGTGTGTGTGTGTGTGTGTGTGTGTGTGTCTGTCTATGACCATCTTCATTTATAATGTGAGGCGTCAACCTTGAATCTCTTCCTTCTCGCAGATTTATGTACGCTGTAAATCCAAGATGTTACTTTAAAACGGCAGAATTTGATATGTAGTGACGCTACGATCTGTAACGCATTAACTGGAAACTGATTGTGTGTGTGTATGACTGTGTTTGTGTGTGTGGGGGGGGGGGGGGGGTGTGTGTGTGTTTGTTCACCACAGTATGTGTTAGAGAGTCATGACAGAATGGAAGAAGAGAAAGACAGAGCGAGAGTGAACCGGAGGTCAACAGAGGAGGGGAGGGGGTTGATAAATTGATTAGTAAAGTGGTGTGTTCTCTAATGGAGGAGTTACATCATCGAGAGTGACAAAGAGGCGTCATCAGGACAAGGACTTTCCTCTCTAATAAATTGGTTAATATAAAAATCCTTGAAAATAAGTCCTTGATTAGATTTCATTCTGCTTTATGTAGCTTTTTCTGTCTGCAGTGACTTATTATATATATTTGTGTGTTTGTGTGAAATTTCACTCGTTAAATACATGTGTTTGCATAGAGAGAGAACACACGGGTGAACTGTCTGTTCAGAGAGCTGCAATCAACCTATTAGCCTTTACACGCACACACACACACACACACACACACACACACACACACACACACACACACACACACACACACACACACACACACACACACACACACACACACACATGGATGATAAGCTACTGCTTGTTGCTAAAAAACCCTGCCTGAAACGCCTCCATTGGACTCCTTTGTTTACTTCCTGAACATCGTGACATCACTACGCAACACTCGCGCTCCTATTGGCTAAAGAGCTTTTTTTCAAGCGAGTTGTATGGCATTATACTCTCTTACTCTAACACGTGTTTAGTGGCATATTTGACCTCTAAAGCGCAATTTAGCACAATGTTAAGTTACTCTCCTTCAGTATTTACCGTGCCTGCTTTCTACATCTACTTATCAACAACTGGAGTATTGTTTTATGCGTTAAATTAGGACGTAATAACGTATCTGAAAACCTGAAATAGCTGGATACACACATCAGCAACTCAAAAATAAATCTGTCAATCAGAATAGAATAGAATAGAATAATGTATTGTCATTATACAGGTACAATGAGATGAGTGGAGCTACTCCTTTTCTTAAGGTGCCATCAAAAAAACAAACAAGAGACTTACAACATTCAGGAGAAGACATCATACAAACAACAACAGCAATCATCAGGGGGTCCGCGGGGTCTTATAAAGTATTACAAGTTGATAAATCAATTTAGCGAAAATTAAGGCTATTAAAAAGTATTAAAGGGCATTTTCCAAGGTGTTACATTGTGTAGCTTGTTTTCAATAAGTATATAAATGGTCCAGAGAGGTTGTATTCTACAGTCTGCCTGAATGTAATCATGGCGTAGGTGTGTAGTGATTCTGTGTAGTTTATTGATGGCATCCCGTTGGGTTTGACGTCATCTGAACAGGACATCGCACGCTCACTGCTTGATAGCACGCGAAGCTCCGTTTACGCCGGTTGTTAAACAACATCGTTATGGGGAAATGCAAGTCTGCGTCCAAATGGTTGGAAGATAAGGAGGAAGGACAATCAATACTGTTTATAGTCAATGTGAGGTGAAGTGTGTCGCCAAGGTAACCGGTTAGAACTCCAAGTGGAGATGAGGTCTTAAAATGTGTGGAAAGGGTCTTAAAAAAGGTCTTAAAGGGTATTACATTTGACTTCAGGATTCCTGCATATACTCTGTTCGTACTTCAATATGCAGATCAAGTTAAAGTGCAGGAATATATCGGTTTAGGTAAAAATAAATATGTTTGAATGTGTATAATAATATATATTGTAACGGCAACAGGCTGCATTGAGATACCTTCACTTTTAACAGGGGTTATGATGAGGACATCACAGAGGAACAGCATGTCTTTTCTCATACACCCCCCCCCCCCCTAATAAAACGGACCCCTCCCTCATAGAAGATGCTCAGTCCAACACTGTTGCTAGGCAGCATTCGTCAGTTGCTAGGAGATGCTGATGGCAGACAGAAAGAGACAGAGGAGTCCTGCAGGATTAACTGGAGAATTAAGTGTGAGATTTGAGCAAAAGACAGGAAGAGTTCCTCATTTGAATTTGGAAATGTAAGTATATTCTGTATAAAAAGTAGTGCAGAGATGATGTTTAAAGAAATTAGCATCGCAAAGGGTTTCCACGACAGAAAGCCAATGGGATTTCATGTGATTTTGGATTATGTTCTGCAATAATCTCTGTGGCAAACTAACAAGTCGTGGCTTCAGGATAACTAGATTAGATTATAATATTTCATGTGTACAAGTTGTTGTTGTTGTTGTTACCTGACAGAGAGGCTAGAGGATGGGTTATCAAATTCTCAAATTTAGAATAAACATGCAGATAAAGCTACGTTTTTTACTGAGGTATGTTTATTTATTTATTGAACAGCTGTCCCGAACATCATATTTGATATCAATCCACCTGGAGTCCTTGAAAGCTCTGTATTACATTCTGCATCTTAAACTGAATTAAAGGAAGTGTAATTGTGTGATTGAAGTCTAAAGACAGAGAGAGAGTGAACACAGAGTTAGGCAGTGATTGAGATCCCTGCTGTTCCACTGGGAAACCCTCTGTAATTAAACTCAGAGTGACACAGACAGACAGACAGAAATGAACATCCACACAGCGCCACCGCCACCTACTGGACGCTTGGTGTAAGTGCAGACCCTCTAAATCTGCATGGGTTCATTTATCTATTATTTTCAGCATTTATATTAAATAAAATACATAAAACCTTTAGACTATATAATTTAGTATTCAATAAACATACGTTTTTAACTGCAGCTCATGCACAATTATTATTATTATTTTCATTGAGTGTTTTTTTCGAGTGTAGTTCCACCATCCCGAGAAGAGAGAGAATGAAACATACAAATAGATAAAAAATAATAACAATAATAAATAATTAAAATTACGAATAAAACTTTTAATTACAAAAAAATTCATCATATTAATAGTGAATTAACCAAAAAATATGATTTTGATCAAATATATAAAAATTTTAGACTCCACATACTTTTTTTTACATCTAATAAAATCAAATTGATGTTGTGTTTCTACCTGTGTGTGTGTGTGTGTGTGTGTGTGTGTGTGTGTGTGTGTGTGTGTGTGTGTGTGTGTGTGTGTGTGTGTGTGTGTGTGTGTGTGTTGTTCAGCTCCAGCAGGCTCCAGTGAGAATGAGGAGCGTGTCTTCAGGCAGCGTCTCGGCCCCAGGAAGCGTCAGGGCGCCGTCAGGAGGAGAGTCCACCAGGTCAACGGACACAAGTTCATGGCAACGTTCCTCAGACAGCCCACCTACTGTTCTCACTGCAGGGACTTCATCTGGTACACACACACACACACACACACACACACACACACACACACACACACACACACACACACACACACACACACACACAGCACAATTAATTATGTTAATGATGTGTTAAAATGTATATTGTATGAAGTAGAGTGGAGCTGCCGAGATATCCCGAGCTGCAAATATTATTCTGCAGACTGAATAAGCTTCTACTAATTTAGTTTTCTTGTTTTTTTGCACCTTGTCTATATTCATATTGAATTCATTTAGTGGAATAACCCCCCCCCCCCCCCAACAGCTAAATTGTTTCCTACAGATCCTCACTGCAAATCTGACAAAGTTACCAGAACTCAACAAAATAAAACCTCCTATTACTTGTAGTTCATTCACTTAAAAGTACAATATTTTCAGATCTTAATATTATCTGTTAACCGCTAACAATCCACCTTTCTTCAAGTATTTGTGCTGCTTTGCTTTGAGCCGTTAACAATAGGTTAGGTCATTGTTTTATGTGATTCATGCTGAGTTTATTCTCTGTTTGACTTTTAGGGGCGTCTTAGGAAAACAGGGCTACCAGTGTCAAGGTAAGATGGAGTTTCTATATTCCATATTTTCGACTGAAGACACTTAAAAGAAACACAACTGCACTTAAACACGTGGTACTTAAATCCATGTGTGTGTGTTTCTCTTGCAGTTTGCACCTGTGTGGTCCATAAACGCTGCCATGAACTGATCATCACTAAGTGTGCAGGGATGAAGAAGCAGGAGGACACAGTGGAGGAGGTACTCTTTAAAGTAGAGACACTACACACTGATATACACCTGAACATCAGCAGGAGAGGACTCTTTAAAGTAGAGACACTACATACTGATATACACCTGAACATCAGCAGGAGAGGACTCTTTAAAGTAGAGACACTACATACTGATATACACCTGAACATCAGCTGGAGAGGACTCTTTAAAGTAGAGACACTACATACTGATATACACCTGAACATCAGCAGGAGAGGACTCTTTAAAGTAGAGACACTACACACTGATATACACCTGAACATCAGCAGGAGAGGACTCTTTAAAGTAGAGACACTACATACTGATATACACCTGAACATCAGCAGGAGAGGACTCTTTAAAGTAGAGACACTACATACTGATATACACCTGAACATCAGCAAGAGAGGACTCTTTAAAGTAGAGACACTACATACTGATATACACCTGAACATCAGCAGGAGAGGACTCTTTAAAGTAGAGACACTACATACTGATATACACCTGAACATCAGCAGGAGAGGACTCTTTAAAGTAGAGACACTACATACTGATATACACCTGAACATCAGCAGGAGAGGACTCTTTAAAGTAGAGACACTACATACTGATATACACCTGAACATCAGCAGGAGAGGACTCTTTAAAGTAGAGACACTACATACTGATATACACCTGAACATCAGCAGGAGAGGACTCTTTAAAGTAGAGACACTACATACTGATATACACCTGAACATCAGCAGGAGAGGACTCTTTAAAGTAGAGACACTACATACTGATATACACCTGAACATCAACAGAAGAGGACTCTTTAAAGTAGAGACACTACATACTGATATACACCTGAACATCAGCAGGAGAGGACTCTTTAAAGTAGAGACACTACATACTGATATACACCTGAACATAAGCAGGAGAGGACTCTTTAAAGTAGAGACACTGCATACTGATATACACCTGAACATCAGCAGGAGAGGACTCTTTAAAGTAGAGACACTACATACTGATATACACCTGAACATCAGCAGGAGAGGACTCTTTAAAGTAGAGACACTACACACTGATATACACTTGAACATCAGCAGGAGAGGACTCTTTAAAGTAGAGACACTGCATACTGATATACACCTGAACATCAGCAGGAGAGGACTCTTTAAAGTAGAGACACTACATACTGATATACACCTGAACATCAGCAGGAGAGGACTCTTTAAAGTAGAGACACTACATACTGATATACACCTGAACATCAGCAGGAGAGAACTCTTTAAAGTAGAGACACTACATACTGATATACACCTGGACATCAACAGAAGAGGACTCTTTAAAGTAGAGACACTACATACTGATATACACCTGAACATCAGCAGGAGAGGACTCTTTAAAGTAGAGACACTACATACTGATATACACCTGAAACATCAGCAGGAGAGGACTCTTTAAAGTAGAGACACTACATACTGATATACACCTGAACATCAGCAGGAGAGGACTCTTTAAAGTAGAGACACTACATACTGATATACACCTGAACATCAGCAGGAGAGGACTCTTTAAAGTAGAGACACTACATACTGATATACACCTGAACATCAACAGAAGAGGACTCTTTAAAGTAGAGACACTACATACTGATATACACCTGAACATCAGCAGGAGAGGACTCTTTAAAGTAGAGACACTACATACTGATATACACCTGAACATCAGCAGGAGAGGACTCTTTAAAGTAGAGACACTACATACTGATATACACCTGAACATCAGCAGGAGAGGACTCTTTAAAGTAGAGACACTACATACTGATATACACCTGAACATCAGCAGGAGAGGACTCTTTAAAGTTGAAACACTACATACTGATATACACCTGAACATCAGCAGGAGAGGACTCTTTAAAGTAGAGACACTACATACTGATATACACCTGAACATCAGCAGGAGAGGACTCTTTAAAGTTGAAACACTACATACTGATATACACCTGAACATCAGCAGGAGAGGACTCTTTAAAGTAGAGACACTACATACTGATATACACCTGAACATCAGCAGGAGAGGACTCTTTAAAGTAGAGACACTACATACTGATATACACCTGAACATCAGCAGGAGAGGACTCTTTAAAGTAGAGACACTACATACTGATATACACCTGAACATCAGCAGGAGAGGACTCTTTAAAGTAGAGACACTACATACTGATATACACCTGAACATCAGCAGGAGAGGACTCTTTAAAGTAGAGACACTACATACTGATATACACCTGAACATCAGCAGGAGAGGACTCTTTAAAGTAGACACACTACATACTGATACACACCTGAACACCAGCAGGATATGTCTGTAACTTCCCACATTTGTTCCGTCTCTCAGCCCGTTGGTTCTCAGAGGTTCAGCGTCAACGTTCCACACAAGTTCAGGATCCACAACTTTAAAGTCCTGACGTTCTGCGATCACTGCGGTTCTCTGCTCTGGGGTCTGCTGAGGCAGGGGCTCCAGTGTAAAGGTCAGCTTTTCTACATAAAATGTTTTTAATATAAATACGTTACTGTCTGATCAAGTCTGACTTTTCTTCTTGCATCACAGCAAGGTTCAAGGTTAGTTTATTTGTACAGCACATGTTAAGACACAGAGGCAATTCAAAGTGCTTCACGTAGGCATTCAAGACATAATAATTAAAAACAAAATATACACACAAACAAAAACAAAAAAAGACAATTAATAAAAGCGATAAAATAATGGTTGCAGCTAAAAGTGTAATGATAAGGAACGGTTAAATGATCTCAGGCATTAAAAAGAAAGGGTTTTAACTTCATTTAAAGCAGCAGCTCCATTTGACATCAAACATATGAAGACATGACACAAGAGACATTTAACATAACATTACAATCAATGAAAAGACACATTTCTCAAGACCCTCTAACGTACATTTGACCTGGGTTTTAACTTAACTTCATTTAAATCAAGACACCTTTTACCATACCTGCTGTGAAGTTAACTTGACCTAAGAAGTGTTATTGAAAGTAATAAGAATAACAAAACATTTTATTCAACAACACTTTAAAAACAATCTCAAGGTGCTTCACAAATCTATGAGGAGAATAGAGAGTAAAACAAAAAGTTATCTTAGGAACATATTAAGTAAAATATGGTAATATAAAAGACCATAAAAGGTTAGAATAAAGTAGACAATTTCAATTCGAAATTCATTGGGTCCGTACAACCAGAAGAACTTTCTGTATCTCAGCCTGTGGAGTGAGACGATGGAACAGTGTGAACGTGGAGTGAGACGATGGAACAGTGTGAACGTGGAGTGAGACGATGGAACAGTGTGAACGTGGAGTGAGACGATGGAACAGTGTGAACGTGGAGTGAGACGATGGAACAGTGTGAACGTGGAGTGAGACGATGGAACAGTGTGAACGTGGACTGAGACGATGGAACAGTGTGAACGTGGAGTGAGACGATGGAACAGTGTGAACGTGGAGTGAGACGATGGAACAGTGTGAACGTGGAGCTAAAGCGATGTCCAGACATTAACCAGTTCAAGAGGAAATACAGAGAAATGATTTGCTCGAGATAAAGGGATGGGGAAGGTGTTTGACTATGTGTATGTGTACATGTGTGAGTATGTAGGTATGTATATGTATGTGTGCATATATGTATATCAGTGTATGTATGTATATGTGTATATGTGTCAATCAACAGATAAAGCCGATTAATAATACTAATAATATCAATAATAATGCATACAAATGATAATTATTGCAGATTACAGATTATAAATAAATCATTTAGGGACAAGGGGGTGAGATTAAATAAATTATACTTCTTCTCACTCCTTTTCGAACACTAGATGTGGCAGTTTATGTTGCTAATGCTGTTGTTGTTGTTGTTGTTGTTGTAAATGTCATTTTTTGTTTTGTCCTTTTTTTGTTTTGATTTGTCTTACATGACTATGCATTTGTTTTGTTTTTGTAATTTTACTTGTTCGAAATAAAATGTATCAATCAATCAATTCTGTAAAATGCGGTGCGGAACAGGTGGGTCTTACTGTGTGTGTGTGTGTGTGTGTGTGTGTGTGTGTGTGTGTGTGTGTGTGTGTGTGTGTGTGTGTGTGTGTGTGTGTGTGTGTGTGTGTGTGTGTGTGTGTGTGTGTGTGTGTGTGTGTCAGTGTGTAAAGTGAACGTGCACAGGCGCTGTGAGAGTAACGTTGCCCCTAACTGTGGAGTCGACGCCAAAGCAATCGCTAAAGTCCTCTCTGACCTCGGAGTGACGCCGGACAAAATCTGCAACAGCGCTCTGAGGCGGAAAAAGGTACAAAACATCTCATATTTAAATAAAATAAAATAAATATACTGGCGTTTAAAAAGTCCATACTCCACAACCATCATAGATAAAACAAGATGAAAGGAATTTATTATTATAACTAGGCCAATGCTGCATTTATGTGATCCTTTATTTCTGAAGTTGTATTATGTAATCGTATCAAATGTACTGCCCCCTCCCTTCCGGCAAATATCTGCTGTCCAATGGAAGCTTGTTATTTAGGGGAACAACTCAAGCCCACAGGAAGTGCGCCGGACTCTGATGAAAATATTCGTTGTGTCCAAACGGCCGTACTACAATTTCCGTATCAGTCCGTGACGTCACCCGGCCCAGAAAGACTTTTTCCCATTGACTAACATTGAAAGAGACGCCTGTAAATCAGCGGATACTTTTTTTTTAAGCAAATTTAAACTATGAGCTATTTTATAGCCCTTATTATAATCATTAGGTCCTTAAAGTTGTAAAGTGCACTAAAATCTAGATTTATTTTCGAGAGTGGGAGCTCTGGGGGCGGGGCTTAAGGGGCGCATGCTCTATGAGCGCACATACGGGTTCTTCTGCTCTGACAGCCGGGCATGACGGGTAATCTGTGACGTTTCGCTCTCTCAAAAGTTGGGCCATTTTGTCCTCATGCGCCGATGAGCAGCTCTCGAAGGAAAGAACGAGACCCCGCCTCCCACGCTGCAATTCTTCGTGGTATATGCTCTTTATAGAGAACCGCAGTGACGCGTCCTAAAACCCGGAAGTAAGTTAGCATTTTTACCACGTTCGGTTTCCTTCGATAAAAAGCAACGCAATTTCTCCATCGGGTTTTGGAAAATAGCTCCAAATAAGGTCTGTGGTTGAGACACGTTGAAGAGACGGATCACGTTGTGTTCTATGACATTAAATCATCAGCAGAGACCCCACTGGTGATTTCTGAAGAGTGGACGTGTCTGAAAAACGATGGTTGTTACCAAGTGGCTGAATAGGACTACAGAAGTCGTGGAGGACGTTGTACGTCATTACACCGAACACGTGAACACTCCTCTAAGTTAGTTTCTGTTCTGCTTGAAAGCAAGTCCCTGCCTCCTGCAGACTGTTCAAACAAACGCTTCAACTCGTTCCATTTAGAGTCTGTGTGTTTGGATATGGATCTGAAGTTGGCGTGACGTTGAAGCAGCGACCCTGCTGTAGCTCCTTTATAGCATAACGTTAGCATTTTGCTTCTGGCGACTAGATTTATGATTAGAAAATTATAAAAGTAGGAAGACATGTGGAGATTATTCTGCTGAACAAAACGTGACCCGTCTCTTAAATGTGTCTCAACCACAGACCTTATTTCCAGCTATTTTCCAAAATCCTATGGAGAAATCGCATTGCGTTTTTGACGAAGGAACCGGAAGGAGTTTACTTCCGGGTTTTTAGGACGCGTCATTTCGGTTCTCTATGAGCAGCTCTCGAAGGAAAGAACGAGACCCCGCCTCCCACGCTGAGTCCAGTTCTGATTACACATCCATGGAACAACTGGGATTAAATGCAATGCAAACATGTAAAAGACATTAGATTTGAAGGTTTAGTATTGCACAATTCCAAAACAAAAAGTCAAAATAATATTCTAGAGACTTCTTCCTCGGCCCATGGTTCACCATTCAAGCAAATGTCATGTTTACTGGGACAGTCGTTTACAAAAATACAGACAAGCATGACCTCCTATAAATAAAAAACGATGTATCCGTGTTGCATGCACATAACCATGCACTCTGCAGCATCTTGAGATGTGTGTTCTGCTCCTTCCAGGACTAACCTTAATGTCTGCCTCATGTTGTTGCATTCATGTTTCTGTGGTCTTAATCTCAACTGTTGTTCTTTCTTGTGAAGCACTTTGAGTTGTATTTCTTGTGAAAGGTGCTATACTATATAAACGCATTATAGAATAACAGTTAGTGGGAATGCTGTATTATTATTCCGTCTGTATTTTGGCCCTCTTCTCCTCCCGCATTGAACATCGCAGAAACTCCGTTCAAACATCAAAACGTTCAGCTCGGTCGGGAATCGATTGCTTTTACTTTTCTCATTCATAACTTTCATAATTCCAGAGATACATCCCATAATGCATCACATTTTTAACATGGAAGTCAATGGAGGAAATCTTCAGACTTCAACAAATCTTCATGCGACTTCAACTGCTAACTGTTCATTCATACTTTCACTCAGAAACCTCATTCCAACTTTTAAACGTTACAAATCTTTCTGACATTATTCGTGTGAAACAACTTTTAAATCTGATTCTTACTTTTAGAGATATGAACATTTGTTCAGACCTTGTTTTCGAGGTTTTCTTCACATTTTAACATTAACTAGAGTGCGTGATGAGGGTGATAAATCTTGAAATGTGCCTTCATATATATTTTTAAAACTGCCATAATTCCCAAACCCTACATTCCTGGGACATAATATTTCATGATAAACGTAGGAAAACATCTCGTAGCTTGAAAAATGACAAAATTAAGCAAAAAATAATTAAACAAAATGCCTCTTGAGGGCATGAAGTGACAAAAACGTTCAACATTCCTCCATTGAACCCCATTGTAATTGCAGGCAGATATTTCCTCACGGTAGCAGCCGCACACCTTTAGTTAAACTGCCAAAAAGGCCACATTATTAACCCGAAAGTACACAAAAATTACACTTCAGATACTCAACTTCCTTGACATGCTTCACGTTTTGAAATTTCACAGATATCTGTTACGGTTCTTCCACAAAACGTTCACATGTAAGAGGTGCATCTCATTCAGAACAATGGAAACCTGTGATCTCTACAGAGCTCGTTAGCTCAACTAGAAACACCTGTGTAATGGAACACGATGATGTCATCACTCCACCCAGAGATGTTCACAAGTCTCTTTTTGCAAGTCCAAGTCAAGTCTCAAGTCTTTGTGGGGTGAGACTTGATCAAGTCTTTGGTCACGAGTCCAAGTCAAGTCTCAAGTCTTTGTGGGGTGAGACTTGATCAAGTCTCAAGTCTTTGGTCACGAGTCCAAGTCAAGTCTCAAGTCTTTGTGGGGTGAGACTTGATCAAGTCTTTGGTCACGAGTCCAAGTCAAGTCTCAAGTCTTTGTGGGTGAGACTTGATCAAGTCTCAAGTCTTTGGTCACGAGTCCAAGTCAAGTCTCAAGTCTTTGTGGGGTGAGACTTGATCAAGTCTTTGGTCACGAGTCCAAGTCAAGTCTCAAGTCTTTGTGGGGTGAGACTTGATCAAGTCTCAAGTCTTTGGTCACGAGTCCAAGTCAAGTCTCAAGTCTTTGTGGGGTGAGACTTGATCAAGTCTCAAGTCTTTGGTCACGAGTCCAAGTCAAGTTTCAAGTCTTTGTGGGGTGAGACTTGATCAAGTCTCAAGTCTTTGGTCACGAGGTCAAGTCTCAAGTCTTTGTGGGGTGAGACTTGATCAAGTCTCAAGTCTTTGGTCACGAGTCCAAGTCAAGTCTCAAGTCTTTGTGGGGTGAGACTTGATCAAGTCTCAAGTCTTTGGTCACGAGTCCAAGTCAAGTTTCAAGTCTTTGTGGGGTGAGACTTGATCAAGTCTCAAGTCTTTGGTCACGAGTCCAAGTCAAGTCTCAAGTCTTTGTGGGGTGAGACTTGATCAAGTCTTTGGTCACGAGTCCAAGTCAAGTCTCAAGTATTTGTGGGGTGAGACTTGATCAAGTCTCAAGTCTTTGGTCACGAGTCCAAGTCAAGTCTCAAGTCTCTAAAAAATAAAAGTCTCATGTCTCTTCTGGTTGTAATAAGCCTTCTATTGTCTGCTGCTATCCAGTCTGTTAAGAATACTGCACAGCTCTATCTAAGAAATTCAAAGCATTTACTGTATTATTATCACTCATATCTATTAGCATACAGTATCAGTACTGATTAGTTGTTTGCTAATTGATCACTTTAAACAGGCTATTGCAATGCAATATGAGGAAAAACATCACACTTTAGCTAAATGCAAACAACTTATAAGCAAAACACTTCAGAATCAGAAATCAGTATCACAAATACTTTATTAATCCCCCACAGGGAAACTGTGTTAAAAGTACTTCAAAGTAAACATTTGTTCTGTGCCATTTGCAACTAAAAAAACTATTGCTGCAATATTATCTGAAATATACTGAACTGGTGATATTAAAACATGACCTGTTCCAAAAGAGATATCTACCATTAACACCATTTACCAGCCAGATGCTGGTAAATCATGCACGTGGCTGGTACTGTATGTTGCACGCACCAGCCACAAATAACAATGGCAATCTATTGAGTGGCTGGTAACATTTCAACATTCACTAGGCTAGCCATTTGGCCAGTGGACAAAAATGTTAAAATGTGACCTCTGCAACCGTATTGTTTAATTACACTGGGTCTCTAATGACATCTTTTAAGTCTACTATAAATAAACATATTCCTCTATCCTCTCACTCAAACCCAGTGTAATGGTAACCTGATAAACCTGTAACATTAACGTTACGTGGTCAACAATATACCTGTAACCTGTCTATAAACCGACAGATGTATTTATGTATGTAACTATGTATTTTTCTACGTTTAACGTTAGCCAGTAGATGGTGGCAGCGGAACGTAATGATTAACGTTAAGAGTTGGATGTCAACGCCACTCAACGCAAACAAGTGTGACAAGCAAACATTCACTCATCTTTTCAAATATTCAGTTACAAAGCTAGTAGCAAGCTAAGTTAACATTACATAGCTAATGCTGAGCTAAACATGTTTGCTAACCGTCCATTATGCGTTAATGTGACTGACCTCTCCGGGTGAGTTTTCAAGTGCCTGATGAAATGTGACGTTGTTGCACCAGCATCCTTGATTTTAATATTGCAGACTTTGCAGTGTGCGCTCCTTTTGTTGGTGCCGCCGCGTTTTTGTTCGAAGTTTTTATAGTTTGAACCTAATTACAAGCGGTACAGCTGCAGGTGTGCCGCCGGTCGCCATGGTGTTACCATGATGTTAATGTTAATGTTAAAGGTGGGGTAGGTAAGTTTGAGAAACCGGGCTCGAGATACACTTTTTGTTATACTCCATGGAATGCTCTTAACATCCCGATAAGCCGGGCCCGGCTAAAGTAACTGGATGGCCTACCTGCCTGTCAGCCTCCCATCGGGGCACAAACTTATCTCGTGCCCTCATTGGTCATGTGTGCGTTCGTGTGTGTTGGAGGAGGGGCTCTGTGAGGAAGTGGCAGATTTTCTCCGGTTGTGTATTTTCAAATTCTAGCGATCTCGAGCTGGTTTCTCAAACTTACCTACCCACCTTTAATACGCCAAAAATAGAAAACACAATGATTGTTCACGAGTCCCA